GATATTAGCGTGCAATTAGCCATTTGGTATCACGTCTGGTGTGGTCTGACGATATCACTGAATACCACTATCTGAAATTGAAAGAATCGCGAAAAATAATCAAAATGATCAGTATCGATACTGAGATGTCTTCAATGTGAATGATATGCCAAAATGCGGTCAATACTTTTGAAGATCATTCATGTCAAAATAATTCTGTTTAATTTACTTGGTGATATGGAAGATTTAAACCGCCACACTTTGAACAAGCTGCAAATGCATTATCTGAGGGATTTTTGACTTCAAAGTAGTATCTGGATTCGTTGGGGTTATGATTAATGCTACAGCAATAGTAATATGCTTCGACATGTTCGGACATTTTTTTCAAAACTTTTATTTCGAAGAACAAATTGGGAACGCCTTTAAATGAAGAATACTTTGAAAATATTGAAAGCACGACAAAAGGATCAGTCATTTTAAATGTGTTTTATAAGCAAAATCGAATCGAGAGGGGACATTTATTAATAAGCATATAGAGAAATTTGATAGTGTATACTTTTTGCTGAAATAAGTCAATGTTCTGCTTATATTTAATCAATGGCAAGACTTATTATATAAAGACTTATTTTTGCATGTTAAGTAAACCTATTTATTTTCATTTCTTTTAATATTCATTCGGAGCATCAAAGTTTAAATATTTACAATATTAAATAAAATAATAAAGGAAAGACATGATTTTTAATGAATGCCAATCAATTAACGTTTTATTTGATTGTCACAAGAAAAAAAGGTTAATATTATGAAATTGATTGAATGTTTTGTCGTCTAGGTTGTTGACACACATTTGAGAAGCCAACGATTAGCGTATCTCCAAAACCTGGAATTGAAGTACATGTAAATCATTAAAAACATTCTCGGCAATTTTGGATATGAGCTAAGAAACTGTGACATTTTTTATGTCTATTTAAAAAGCAAAACCAAATTTGTTTGGTTCTTATCAATTTTTTTTCATAAATTTAAAATATGTTTTGTTTGTAATTGCTTTTTTTAGCTTGAAATTATTTTTATTAAAATGAATTAAATAGTTTACCTGTTGATAAGGAAAATTTACTTGTCCACATATCCTACACCCCCACATTACCGGTGCAGTAGAAGGATCAATGACTACACTATAGTTTCTAATACTACTCTCTGGATGATATGGACTAATGCAAAAGTAATGTGCCACTAACACTTCAGGCATATTTTGTTCAATCAATGTTACTTTGGCGAGAAAAATGGAGAGTGAACGATGGAGAGGAGATGAGCGAATGTTGCACCGGTAAAATGAATTGAATACGGCAAAACCTATGTTTAATCAAACAAAGAAGTTTTTAAAGTGCTTGGATCGTCATTAAAAATGTTTATTTATTTCAAATTTTCTGCGAAAACTGCTGTCCATTTTATCTTATCTCTGTTTATGTCTCAACTGGAACCAATATATAAATTGGCTGTAGCAATCACTTGCAAAGACAATATTCCATCTTTTTACTTGAAATACTTTTCTTTACATTCAATATGAAACACTGAATATATCCACCGGCGATTTTGCATTCAAACAAATATTTATATGAAGACAGTCTGACAATTTTGATTTCAAAATAAAGAGATCAACGATTAATTTACATTGAAATTCAGAACTGTGCAAACAGTTTAAAATGCAATGTTTACATCAGAAACCAAATTAAGTTGACTCACATCATTCCATTCTCGACTTTTTCTGCTTTTGTCATACTTGTCAAAGTATGGTTGATCAAAAAAAGATGACATTGTCATTTTTAGTTTGAAGAAATTATATGAAAAGAAGCGATCTTACTTCGAATCTGTTTACTGCTAAACAAAACGTAGTTTGTAGCATTTTTAATATAAGCGCAGCTTTAGTCCTCTTAGCGAATGGGTTCTGAAAATTGAAATCTTAACGTAAGTATTACAGTATCAACTCAGATAAAGAGCAAACTAATTCAATTTTGCCTTTTTTTATAGAACTTTATTAATTTTTTTTCACTTAAACAATGTTCAAATTCATTGATGAACCATTGGTTATTTTTTACAATTATTCATACAAAAAAAGAAGCGTGGATGATTATATCTTCTCCTGAAATAGAAAATATTGAAGGGAAGATATATCAAAAATTACTCGTGCCAAAGTTTTAATTTGTAAAATAGTGGAGTTTTTCAAGAAAGAAAGCATGAAAGTTTTATAAAAAGGAAAAATTGTGTAAAAAGCAAAAACTGTTCTGTTTTTACACTCATGTGAAAATACTTTACCTGTTCATATGGCAAATTGATGGTGCCACACACAGGGCACCGCCAAATTTTCTGTCCACTCGAAGAGTTTATGATTACAATGTTGAGCCTGTTAAGTACTTGGTTTGGTGGATGATTGACCCCACTGCAGTGGTAATAAAGGCGTATCGGCATATTTGACTCGATTGGATGACAAAATTGGCTGACACTTTTGAGTTACCTTTGTTCCATATAAGAAACTCAAATGAAGCATATACGAATAAAATTGGCAATTTTAAGACAGAAAAATGGCCAAATCGAATCGACGAAACAAATTTATCAATAATATCTTTTAAGTTCTCACTCATTAAGCATGTTTATTTCAGTGCAAACGCTTACTCACCCTCTTATGTTTGCAATTGGAAATCGTCAGCGAATAAAATATTAAATAAACAATTTGAGTGGACACATTCTGTCAATTTTGTTTGAAAATTAAGAAGTGTATCAAAAAATAATGAAAATCACTCAGCAATCACACAGCAATCACACAATAACCATGGGCCACATTTTATTTATCTTATATTTCTGAGTCATAATTTTGCTTTATTTCACGTTGACTAGAAAATTGGTGCTTGTGAGTGAACAATTCTTCTACGAATAAAACTAAAATGCAATATACATTACATTCTACTCGTATTTTCTTTAGGTTTCTGCTCATTAAGAGAACGAATATTGGTTGCAAATGTTTCTTTTTTGTAGTAAAATAAACGATATGATCTTATGTCATTGTGATATCACAACACTCTGAAATTGAAAGTTTGAGACACACATTCAAAGCCATCCATACGTTCATCGTCTTATTATTTCAAAAGATTTACCTCTGGAAAATTGTTCCAGCCGCATACTGGACAAGGTATATAAAATCGAGAATGAAAATCCATGTATAAAACGTAGCGTCTGCTACAATATGGAGGATGAGTTGGATTGTCGCAAATGTAAAGCGCTTCTACATACATATTTTATCACTTATTAAAATGAGCCAAATTAGCCTGAAATTATTTGACAAACGTTGTTCCTAAAATACCAAAACTCAATTGAAATGGTTTAAAAAATAATACTTACACACATTTTGAAAAACCTCAAATAACCAAAAACGAACGTACGCAGCAAATTCGTCAATAATCATTCAGCCGCGAACGCTTTGGAATGCTTACATATCCATCAATCATGTTTACATACTTCTTTCCTGAATTCTGACTAAATATAAATCTCCTTGTAAACAAATGGAAGTGTGTAATCTGAAAAAAAATGTTCATGGAAAGAGTCTAATAGTTTTTGTTTATTTTCGTTCATCCGATAAGCATAAAATGATTTGGATCAAAATGAAATGCCTATGATTATTTGACTATTTTCAATCGTCAAAAACTGAACTGATAGTGAATCACTATTAATGATATAGATAATAATGAAAAATGAATAATCTATTGGCGCCAGGTATTCATTACATTGCTCAATGTAATTTGTAGTTGATTCCATTCAACAATTTCTAGTGTCAACCTCATACCTGTTTGAGTTGTGCGGTAGATTAGAGTTCATGACATATAACTTAGCAACAGTTCACAAAATAATTGGAGCTTATGTTTGTGTTAGATAATTGATTGCAAAGTATTTCGACGCCGTTAAGTCTTACCCCAATGAAATCAAATAATACATCGGATGTATTACATCCATCGATCCATCGATGATAAGTAGAAGAGTGCGCACCAACTTTGAATGTTTGGTTCTATTTATAAGCAAGCATTTTTGTTGTGAAACAAACGAATTTCTTTTAAAAATAACGCTGTGTGTCAGTTGCATCTCATCGATAAAGTTTTCAAACAAGAAGAAAACTGCGCAATCATTTTACCAAAGATGGATTGAGCATGGATACGAGCAAAGTTTTTGTTTCGCATCGGAATGTTAATGTTATCTGCACACTTGTTTCGTTCGCACTTGTTGTTTGCATTCAGTCAAAAGGACCTGTTGCGTTTTTTTTGTTTGTAATAACTAAAACTTACTTTTGAACTGTGTAACTTACTTCAAGCAATTCATCAGGTTTGATACATTTTATTGGACTTGTTTAGACCAAATTTTCAAACATTTATGTTTAGCTGTATCAGAAGGGATTGAACTAGGGATTGAAGCTATAAACTTCGTACAGTATTTTAAAAGATTTTTCTAGAGAAATCTCTAAATTTTTTAAATAATTTTCTAAGGAAAGTAAAAATCAAAAGTAACCTATGTTTATAAATCAAAGTATGAATAGTGGTTTTAAATCGTAAAAAATAATAATTTTAAAGCATGTGCAATCGTGGACTTTGAATTTATAATTATCGTTTTAACAATTAAAATATTCAATTATTAAATTTATGATAACTTAAATCATTTTGCTATCTATATTTTTGATATTGTAGCCTTTTTAATAATGATAAGTTTGAATATGTGCTATATTAAATTTCCATTAAATAAGTTTTTATTTTTTTCTTTTGCCGAGCATGAAACGCATTAAATGGTTTTCTATCCGTTGCAGATTTCCTTTATTTTCCTTTTCTTGTTCAATCCATTTTCTTCGTTTTCTTTTTTTAACCACTTTTACTCATAACAACAATAAATTTTATTATGCACTTGATGTGAGGTTGACAGAAAATTCATTTTCAGCTTGAAATTATAGAAGAATTGCTGTTATTAGAAGGAAAACCAATTGAATAAAAGAGAAATTCATTATAATATTTTATTTTTATTAGTGCTCGATTGATGTGACGACAGTTTTAAATATTTCAGTGATTCCAAAATGCTTACTAAACTATAATGCAATAATAATTTCAACTAAAACCAATTTCGAGAACAATGTATTGATTGTATGTGTCAAAAAGTTATATAGTATCGCATTGATTTATTTTCTTTCCGTAAACCATCCGTGAAGACATTTGGGAGCTGGTCCAGGCGTCTTAAATATGCATCGTCCAAGTTCTTTTAATGTTTTTGCACATAATACCAACAATCCGACTTTATTTTCATCGCCATTACCCCATACCATTGCAGACAAGATAACACCATCATCTTCATTCTACAAACAAACAAACAAAAAAAAAGTTTTAAAAATGCAATTATAAAAACAAAAAAAATGTTACATCACCACCTCTGCATGTGGTTCTAGTACAAAAATCGGTTCACTTGGATATACATTTCGTTCATTCCATGTAAGAATTGTTTTATTGTCTGCGTCCACTTTTATGATCTGAAAAAGTGCAATAAAACATTTGAACTCAAGGTGATAACAGCAAAAAAGGTAAAAAAAACATATACCGTTCCCGGAATGTCAGCGTCAACATCAGAGCTGATTGCATAGAAAAAGCGGTAGTTTTTACCAGCTGATTTAACATCGTTTATTCTTGGTGTTTCACATCCAATGTCACCGAGTCGTTCGGGTATACAATAAATGGTTGAATCTTCCAAATGATATGCTCTGCATTCACTTTTCTCCATTTTTACTAAATTCTCGATTGCATAGCATGATTCAAAGTTCAACCAAAATTTCAAATCAACTTTAACCGAATCGATGATGCAACCGGTGTTTTGATACTTCATTAAATAATGTTCAATGCTTGACGATGATAAATTAGAAGTGATGTTTTTCAAAGTATTCCAAAGCGAAGGTGTTGGTGGTTCACGTTGAAATTGTTTGGCGATGGGTAAAACCTAGGGGCAATTCACTTAAAAATTACCTTTCTATTATTTAATAATTGTTATTGATTATTGCGATTATTCTTGTTCTTTTTCGATTATTGCGATTATTTTCGATTATTTTCGATTATTTGTCGATTACTTATCGATTATTTCCAATTAATTCTTTTCTTTTGTGATTCTCACCTTAGGTAAAACAAATCGTAATGGTCGGCTTCGGAACATTTTCGAGTAGTTTTTTATGGTTTGCATATTTTCCATTGCTTCCACATACATGCAATCCAGAACTGAAGGATCTCGATAACAACAAATGTCAACAACGATATAATCACCACGCTCGTGTGCATTGATTGTGTGTAAATAGAAAAATGGTGCTGCTTTGAAAGTGAATATCCGTTGGCACGTGCGACGACAAATCACATGGAATAGCGTGCACTCATTTTGAAACCACTTGAAAATCGAGGCCAAAGGTCTTTTCAAGTATTTCGCCTTGAGTGATTCAACCATTGATATGCTGAGTGGTTGCTCAATTATAATAAAATAATTGTCCGTGGTTGCAAATGAGTGCATATACGACGGATTCATCTGCCAACGTGCTGGAATTTCAGCAATGATTGATGCATTTTCAAACATTTGCGTTCCATTCGGAAATTTTATTATATTGTATTGTGATTGACCATTTTTAACCGATAATCCCAAATTGTATGCCTGTTCGTGAAATACATTACAAGGTCAGTCCAATTAATTTCAATTGACAATGTTTATTACTTACAGTGCCATCGTCCATTATATGTGGATGCGACGTATGATTAACAACTCCGATATTCTGTTTTATATCACGCTTTCCAACTGTGTCCAATGTTTCGATGTCGATTCTAAAAATTTAAAATAACCGGATAAACACATTTTCATTTTTTGATAACGTCGAAGACGAATTCATTTTTTAAGAATGCAAATGGAGGGCATAAATCAATTTCCTATCTCACCGATGAATTATTGGGCATTCGGTAAATGCGTAGAATTCATCACCAAATGGATATATCGAAATGTTGCAGTTATCGTTGATCGGATCTGCCGAGAATACACTTGATATTCTTTGAAATATCGTTTGACACGGGTCCGGAACCGTTCTCGTACCATAGCTAGTGACCACTATTCGATTGGCTGCCAGATTTGTTTTGTACGATTCGGTGTTAATGAAACGACACTGATAAGACACATTTCCGTCGCTGATATCGAACCTAAAATCGAAAGGTCGTGCATATGTAAGACATCATTGTCAACAAAAATCGGGAAACCTTATAAATTATTGTCGAATTTGTCACTTCTGATTGATGTGATAGTATTTGACTTTCACTGAATGACTTTTATTGCTTAAAATGGATATTTCCACCAAAAATAATTGGTCTTTATATACAGCTATATTTTGGCTTTGTTTTAAATTTCTGTAATTAAAATTTGATTTAATTACTTGTGAAGTAAGGCGGCACTATCGAACAAATGATGGTATTGTGTGTTACCGACGTTCAAACTGCCTGGTCCATTCCTTAAAAGGCAACCTTTAAGCCATTTCGGAATATGACCATGAAGTGTCCCATAAATTGGTTTTAAAACCTCTTTTTCGCACGATCTCAACCACACTGAACCGTCACAGTTCGGATACAACTTTGTATTTTTATCTTCAAGCGTACTGAAACTTTGGTCAGTCAACAATGTTTTGGACTTCAACATTTTTAACTCTTTTTCACAAACTGTTTTTTATACCAAAAAAATCTATTTCCTTCCTATTTTTTCTTTAGTAGAAAATCTTCTTTTCTCAACGAATGAAAAAGTGCTCTCTTTTGAAAGAAAATATAGTGACATTTGTTGCAACAAATGTATTTATTTCAATCAAGCACAAACACAGTTTAGTGATATTCGTTCTTCATGATTGACGGTCAACAAATGATCAAAATGTTCACTTTATTTTGGCACTATAGTCAAGATATGCAATATGATAATTTAAAGAAACCATAGAATGCAAGCTTGTTATTCACTTGAGGTTCACTGTCGAATGACGGAATAGATAGACAACTATTACTTTGTACTTTATACCAACTAGTTTAGATTTAGATTAATTCTGAAGAAAAAATAGAATAATTTCTACGCAAAATTCTTAATGAGATTTAATTGAGCTCCAATCAAATTCTATTAAAATGATAGACGTTGCTTGAAGTGATTTGTAGAAATTCATTTCGACTGTCTGAAACACCAATCATGAAAGTTTATGTATTCTGTATTGATTTTGAAACGGAATATTGAATTCAATTAGAAAAGATGTTTATTTCGCTATGATTCATCGACAAAAATTGAAATAAGAAAGGTCGCAAAAAGGAGTTCTTCTTCATGGATAAAATAAGAGGAAGAACGAGAGAAATAATGACATTGTACACCAAAATATTTGAATCGTCAAAAATTAGAGTGAAATTGTTCAGTCAAAAACATCATCAGCATTGAATGTTCCGCACATAAAATTCAAATCCACCGCTGAATTGGTGGCAACCATCATGAAGTTCGTGCATTTCATGTGTTCGACTTGCGCGTAAACAAAAACATCATTGATTCTTTCACATTGATTCACCACGCAAATACACAGTGAATGCGGCCCATGTTCTGTCTGTGTGTTGTTGAGTAGCCCTTCTCCAATACACTTGTGTCAGCATTGCCCGTCAATGTACCATTGCACACGAGGAATGTGTGTGTACACAACCGAATCGTTCTACACAAACACAATGATACAGTCAACGAACCCATACCATAGAGCTGGATGTGTGATTTTCACAGTTGTGCACATACGCATACCGATACACCTTTGATTCTCTTGTTTATAGCTCTTTTTGGTAGCCATAGTATTTATTAATTCTACACACGATAGTAGGTCTTTTCTCCTGTGCCAGTGAACTCAACACTCAAGAATAACTTTCTTCCATTCATTTCGGTTTTTTTTCCTTCTTCTTTTCACTCATCGATAGATTTGTTTGATTCAATTGTTGGTCAATTCTCATTTTTGCATCAATGAAAAGGTATTTTAATTACAAATTCTGATGGTGATTTCTATTTTGAAAATTGTAATTCTTGTTGTGACTGTGTGTGATGGTGGTTCAAATTAGAAAAAAAAAGAAGTGATTTTGGAATTCGATTGGAATTTTAAATGAGTGATAATAAAATGAGCGATGAAGTAGGGTTTTTCTAGTGCTTTGCATATATTTAATTCGTTCCGAAACATGAATTTTTTTTATGCTCATTTAAAAATGAAAATCGTTTTGATGTGAATATGTGTGTCTAATGATTTGGTGTTGATTGTTCTCCCTTCCGCGAGTCTCGCGAGACAACACAGAGTAAATGATAAAATGAAACGAAAAAAAAATAAACGAACCAAGTAGCGGAAAGAAAATGGTGAGCAATTGAGGTTTAGAGCAAGAGGCAACGTATGTAAATAGCGCTATGGCCAATGAGTGCGACGTGTGTTACAACGTTTGTAATGTGATCGGGAATGTGTTTCATAAGAAGAGAGAAAAAAAACCTGTTTTTCTTACCTGTTACCTACTGTAAACACACATTCGGGTCATTTACAACAACAACAACAATAAGAACAACAAATGACTCGGACTTATCTCGATAAAAACAACATACCCGCTAAAAAACAGTTTACATACGAGGTGTTTGGCGCTGAAATAAACCGCATTCAGATTGTACACAGCACGCTGTGCACACTCAACAGAGAAAGTTAATTGCGAATTGTATTTTCATTTTATGCACTTTGTTTTGAGTGAAATTTTTTATGACCAAACATGTGACCATACATTTCAATTTTATGTTAGTTTTGTTTAGAGTTTTCTTGTGATTGTAATGAGAATTGCTGTCTCTGTGTGTGTACGCGTGTTTTGTATTGTTATTTCAACTTTAGTGTATATTTGAATTTAATGAACGAAGGAAATATTGTATTTTGAGAAAAATCTAAACTGATTTCAAGAAAATAAGTACGAAGCAATGAAAAATAAATAAAGAAAATAAAATAAGTGGTTAGACATTCTAAAAATACGGTGAATGTACTTCGTGAAGTGTACAGAAGTCAAGAAGAATACAGTGTACAAATAAAACCCGCATGAATTTACACAATTTCTTCTTTTGTTCAATTAAAAAGAGTAAACTGTATCAAAGTGTATTCAATTGTTTGCTTTCAGAAAAAAAAGTATGACCGATCTGTGTAGTGTTCAGAGTAGCAAGGCTTAGAGTAATCACGCACGTCCCTTGTAAATTGGCAAACGACTAAAGTAGAGTAGAGCAGAAAGAGAGACGGGGCCAAACAAAAATGCAAAATCCAAATATTTCAAATGCCGGCGGCGGCGGCCACTTGACACATCGAAGTCAAGCCACTATGCTGGATGCACGATCTCTATCTCCAAGTGTTCATATGATGCACAACTTCCACGACGTCTATCCGGTATCAAATGAAATGCCGTCACAACCGCAATTCTATCATTCCATGCCGCACGTAAGCGTACTTTTAATTGCAATAACAAATGAAGAAAAAAAATCAAAAGTCATTCACTGCGATTCGCTCTAAATTCCAATTTTCTTACACAGTCACAGAAATCATCTATGTCCAATCTGAATGACCGCATTCCACCTCATAATCGCACCATGTCTTCAACATTGAACCGCTCATTTGCACCAAACATGAATCCACCGCCACTACAACAACAACAGTCTTCCAGTGCTGTGAATAGCCTGCAACGAAATCATCCGGTCAACGAATTTACCGAACAATATAATCGTTTGCAGCAAGCACGTATGGAACAACAAATGAAAACACACAATGAGGCCATGATGAGAAAACAACAAACATTTGCAATGCGTCAAGCATTGAATCCACCACCGATGTCGCGACAAGTATCGGCCGTTAATATTCATCAACAAGTTAATATATCTACGCAAACAACACCAAACACACAACATCCACCAAATGCACAGCACCAAGGATCACCCGCACTTAATAATCCATTTGGAGTCGATCATTTGCATCAGCATCATAGCACCGGCAGTCCAAAGCATATCAATCATGTGGAAAAGCCGAATTTTTTGCAATTACAACAGGAAAATCAGCAGCTACTTCAATCACTACGGAATGATTATGAATTGAAAAATCAACAGCAACAACAACAGCAACAACAGCAGCAGCAGCATCACCAAGCGCTTCAAAGAAAGTCAACAAATCCATTCATTCAATCGGGCGAAATTGAAAGCGATACCCGTGCAGAGAGTCCTGTTCATCAAACACTTGTCTATAAGGAGGTGAGCTCCTCTTCAGCCACCTCGACACCAACTAAACTCCTAAAATCACCGAAAACCAAACGACAACCAACGTCATTAGTCACATTTTCCGGTTGGTTGTACAAACAAGGCTCTGAAGGCTTGAGAACTTGGCGTCGCCGATGGTTTGTGTTGTCAGATTATTGCTTATTTTATTATAAAGGGCCCGAAGAAGAGAAATTACTCGGTTCCATTCTATTGCCATCGTATATATTGTCCGAATGTGTTCCGTCGGACAGTAAAACATTTAGAAAATACTCATTTAAATTGGAACATAAAAATATGCGACCCTATTACTTAGCTAGTGAGAATGGAGATTATATGAGAAAATGGATGCGAGTTATACGCGCTGCAACGCTTATGCAAAATTTTAATGAGGCTCCAACGCGACATTTACTTGCCAATTCGATACCGATCAGTACCAATAGCTATGAACATAATTTGGGATATAATCGATATGATCAATATCGTGGCGAACATAATCAGCAAAAGGTCGACATTCATCCAACGCTGAATCCATTTTTGATTTTCGATGAAGGTAAGGTCTACTAAATGATTAATCGGTGTTTTTTAATTTTAAAAAATTTGAACAATTTTCAGATAATGAAAGGCAACCTTTGTATGTAAATGCACCGCCAAAGCCACGTCGTACCCATGAAATGGAATTGTCAATGTTTGGAAATGATCCATCAATGTTCCCGATGAGGTAAGCGCTACTCCCAATTTTTTCTTATTCATTTTTGTTCCATGTTTGCTAATACCTACCATTTTTGTCGCTCTCATAGTTCTGAAGTATCAGCTGAGTCAACGCCAAAAGGGATGCCAATACGTATGCTTGAATATGAAGATATTTACAATGAACAACGCGGTCAAAGTCGAACAAACCCCATAAAATTTACCGAAAACCCCAATCATTTGATAAACATTCAAAATTATGGCTTGGATAATGTGCCAGCTGCCTATAATAATGAGATTAGTACATCGATTGGCAAAAAATCGTATATACCGAAAAAGATGCCACCACGTCCACGTTCGGCTGATTTCCTCGAATACGAATCAAAGCGTCATTTTCGTCGCTTCAAAGATTTTGATAATGCTGGCCATTTTACCGAACGGATGCCATCACGTCCAAAATCTAGTCTTGACATCAACAGTTCAATGGATAGCTATTACTATTCGGAGGCTAGCTATGCAGCAAAAATGCGACAAAGTGCACAGTACTTACAAAATCGGAATTTGATGACAACGGGTCGTGAAGATGCTCGTTTGAATACATTACGCTATGAAAATGATCGAAAGAGGCTAACAAATGAATTTAATAATTACACCGCCAATTTGATATTAAACAATGGACTAACACTGCCCAGATCGAAGTACATGTCAAACAATGACCCATTCAAATACGCATCAATGATGCGAAGCAGTGAACCGACCGATTCCAGTTTTAGTTCGGATAGCCGATATTTGATGAAGAATTCGGAGAGCAATTTGACCGACCAATACAGGTCAAATGATATGATAAGCGGCAAAGCAAGCTCGATGTCAATTCGCGATGACCTTCAGAATAGTAATGCCAATCTTTGGGTAAGTGACATTCAAATCAAAAATGAATTCAATTCTAAAATTTGAACCATTTATAACACAGCAACCTGACATATCGGCCGGAACGTTGCTCAGTAAAACGCATGAGGAGCTTGTACTGTTGCTGATTCAATTGCGACGCCAAGCCGATAGCAAAGAAAGAGGAATGGATCGTCGATCCAAGGATATGCAATCAATACAGGTACTTCGTTTTTTTTTTGTTTCTCTTTGTAAGAGTTTCTACATATTGGTAACTCGTTTTTGCAGCATCGTTTGAAAAGCGAAGAGACGACTGCAACTCGCTTGGAGCTGATGGGTCGGTTGGAAGTACTTCGCGAAGAAATGAACAAATTGGAACATCAGTACGAAAAGACGAAGCCATTGGTGAATTTAGTTGATAATATGGTGAAATTGGGCTCCTTGTATCGTGCTGGAAGCATCCAATGGGAAACCAATTCAATGCGCTCTGGCATGACATTGCAACGATTGCGAGGCAATCAGAAAGAACTCGAGCGCCGATTGCAATTGGAGGATCAAAAACAATGGAATAAATTCGATCCGACTCAAATTGAATTGCAAGTAAGTTGAGTTTTCTTCTTCAATCAAAATAATGACGAAACAAAAATTGTTCTGGTATTAAATTAAAATTGAACCGTTTTCTTTGCTTTGAAAATTTAGAACAAAGTTCAACAACTGTACGAATTGGATCAACGATTGCAAGAGGAGTCGAATAACTTACAAATGCTCCAGCAAGATAAGGATGAAATTGAAGGTGCTCTGGAAGAGCTAAACCGAAGATTTGCAACAAATGACATGTTACCAGAAAATTATATGACGTCAAAGAAAATACAGCACTCATTGGAATTGGAATTGTCGAAAGTTCACAGTCAGCTGGCTGAAAATTCACGGGTAAGTCCATGATCATTTATGCCGTTAAAAAAACTAACTCGTATTCTCTGAAATAGCGTTTGGAAGAAACGGTGGCCGGCAACACAAAGCTTGAACGTGAGCTATTGGTGTTGCGTCAAAAGTTGCAATCATCACGTGAAAAGAACGCAGCCCATGTGAGTTATATGAGCGTAATGGGTAATTCAAAAACGGCCGATGCATTCGAGTCCGAATTGAGAAAAGTACGCGATTCGGTGGGTGACACAAAAAGACAGCGCGAGGAATTGAGCATGGCGGTTAGTCAATTAACACTTGATTCGAATGAATCACATGAACGAATGCGTAGCAATGAGCATACATTTAAAATACAAGCAAAACGGATCGATTCCGATTGGACTGAAACCGATTTGGATTCGATGCATAAAAAGAACTTGATAAACGCCTATAATCACATCTCCGATTCATACGAGCAAACATATCGAAATGAAAACGAACCATATTACTATCAATATCAACAAAGCACAGACGACTCAAATCCCGAAGATCACTGGCAAGGAAATGGTAAGCATTTCATTAAAATACCACTGGTTTTTATCAGTTTTAATGCGGATTTTTTTTTTTTTTTTTTAGATAAACAAGAAATAAAAACGGTTCGCATAGTTAAACGTGAATCGGAACGACGGCACAAGGATAAACTAAATCAAAACTATGACACTAATTCAGCACCACAAGATTTTAATAATCCGGATGAGATAAATGAATTTCTATCCACATATCAACAATCTGAACCGAGAACAAATCATTACTATGAAGACGAACCGTCCGCTTCAAAAGCAAAGTTGACAATAAGGAATGCCGGGCATTCCGTTAACACCAATTCCACACAACGTAATGACAATATTTTCCATAGCAATACAGCCCGTGAAATCTCAAATGAACGAGGCAACAAGGAACATCATCATCATCATAAACAACAACAACAACAAACACCAACGAAAATAGGAACCTCATCCGTTGCCACTGCAAATAATCAAAGTCAACAGTACAAACGATTCACTCCACGCAAAAAGAAACGCCATAACACCGCACCGACCAGCGAAAATTTTATGGACTATATGGCCGAACGGGATTCATATAAATATGTATGTCATTCTATTTTCTTGATAAGAACCGAAAGGAGTCAATTTTTGGAAGAAAAACTAATGGTATTTTTTATCATTTTGTGTTTCAGAATAATCATCGAGCCCGAGATGATCTTGATATGGAAGTAGTACTTCGATCATCAAATCCACCGGTTGAAAACGCCATATCTGGACCGCCTGACGTTATTCGTTCGGCACTTGGCCAAAATAATGAATATCTCTTTGATAAAATGAATTAGATAAATTCGCAAACAATTTTCAAATAATCATCGCTTCACACATATCCATTTCATGTCAAATTAAAACCAAGTGAACCTAAGCAAAAACAAAAAACGATCCCAACACATGTGGGATTAAATTACGTAAACAAAAACAAAAAACAAATGAATTATGTAGTCAATATATATGGAAAAACATGTATGCATTTATTATGCAAATGAAACAAGGTAGTTCAAATCAATTATCAAAGCCAATTTTATTGGAACTTATTAGAATTTTAGACGATAAATTTATCAATTCGGCAACCACTCACATTTTAATATCCTAAACGTTCAAGCATCGGCACCATCATAACAATATCATTTTATGATTTAGGTATCGATTTTAATTTGTTTGCTCATCATTATCATCGTAATTCGATATATATGAACCCAGTGACTGTTAGAGATTTTATCATGCATTTTGTGTAAATAACTGTGTCTTTGATTTGCACAGATTCACTATTAGAAAAAAAGAGAATGGAGCGTTATATTTTGATTAGATATGAATGATTTCATCGTGTTTTTATTGACTTTATTGAAAGGTTTTTAAGGTAATGCTTAGTTTAAGCATTCGCCGCTCTCACTTTGAGTGGCAATTGCATTGTTTATGTTTCAAAGTTTCAATATACAACTATAAATATATACAAATATAAACGCCGTGGGGCACTAACTAACACACAATAAACAAACAATCTCTTTATCAGTGGCATATCATAGCAGACAGGCCATAAATACATAATCATATTAGGTGTGAATTGCGCACGCATGCACGCAACGCACACAAAACACATTCACAACAAAACGATACATGTATTTTTTTCGGGGACATAAAGACATTCCACAGACATTTTAACGTGTGGAACCCAAATTAACTCGTAAAATTTATTGCATTTATGTTTTATGAAAATATTACCTAAAAATAAATATTATCTATAAACATATACAAATCGCACGGCTTAGGCAATATTAAGTTGAATAAAAAAAATTATTTGCAAAAAAAAAAATAAAACGATTCGAGTTTTTGTTTCTTTTATTGTTTTTTTTTTATTTATTTATTTATTTCAGTTGTCATTCAATGCAATATACATTTGGAAATTACCAAGAACAAAAGATTCATTTTGTGAGCTCAAAGAGAGCATACTGTGATTTGATATTTTTTTATACATTTTTTTCTGTTAATATGTACAATGAATGAAATAATAAGCCTTCTTTGGTATAGATTCGAAAAACAATAAATATCTCCTGATTCTAACCTCTTAACACATAACACAATCTCGATTTTGGTAAGAATTTTTCAAACGAACAAAAGAAACAATATGATTCTACCAATCGGAGAAGTTTGAATTTACGGATTTTATACAGCGAATGTGGCTAGCAATTCGAATAAACACACACACATAATTATCTTCTATCTTCTTTCGATGATTGGGATGATTCGCTGGCAACATTGCTTAGTTCTAGTGTGTTTAAGGCTTGAGCTACGGCACGTTTGTATCGATTCACCAATTCGGGCAAATCGTACGCGATCGAAACGTCGAGCTTGTTAATTGGACAGCCACGGAAATAGGTGCAGGTTTCAGAAAGCTTCTTAAATTCGTACAATGGATTCAATTTGAAGAAGTCACGGTACACTTCTGGATCGGGTAAATCGTATCGCGAAATATTGGTTAGAGTTGAAAGACCTTCATAGATGTGATAGGTTTGAGGATGTTCAATAATTTCACCGGAGATTTTTTTCTTATTTCCGAACAATGTCTTGTGATTATAGTAGGTGGTTAAATAACAATCGACCATTTTAGCGTGATTACGAACACGAACCTACGGAAAAAAGGTGTATTTGAACATGGAATTTACTGAACAAGAAACTTTGGTACTCACCGCAAAACGACGGGCACTTGCAATTTTATTCTCAATACGATGTTCAATGGCTTGTGATAAATCTTGCAATAAAGCCTTTTCTTGTGCTTGCAACAAACGAATTGGAGTATTTTCTTCAAATGGATGCGACCACAACGAAACGGTGTACATAACCGGCGGTTGTTGCGATGACATCAATGGTGAAATATTCCAAATCAATGCACTTTGAACGCGAAGCAATTCTTCGGGATGCACTTGATCGGCCTTATTCAAAACGATTCGGGTTTGATATTCACGGCCTTTCAATTGATCAAGAATGGCTTCGGTTTCGGGTCCAACGTCCAATTTCGATGGATCGTAAGTTAGGAAGATGATATCAGCACGGTCTATGAACCATTGGCACGCGTCATTGAAAGGGAAAATTCGCGAAACATGTTTGCGCACCTCCAAAATACCAGGAATTTCCACAATGTTAACCTATTGAGAATTAATCAATGCTTTGAATTCTATTTTGATTGATGTTTTTTGTAATTTGGTACCTTTTCCAAAAGTTTGCTTGGCAATTTCAAGCCACGCAAACGATCGGTTAAGCCTTGACCGAACTTTTGCAATCCGGAGAATGTCCAATCAGCCGACAATTGAGTTCCGTCCAAAACTTGTTCGGATTCACCATGCATGAGGATATTGAAGTACGGCAACGATGGTTCAGCACCTGTAAAAACAAAAACAAAAACGATTTAAAACTTAAATCATTTGGGCGTTTTTTTTTTTAGCAAACCAGTTTTGAGTGAAAAATCTGTGTATTCATTGCCAGTCAAATAATTGATGATGGTTGATTTGCCACCCGACCATGGCCCCATCAACAAAACCAACGGTTTGGAGAAGATTTCTGGATCACCGAAATGACGATTACTCAAGTCACGATATTTGTAAAGAGTTTCCAATGGTTTAATGGCGTTTTCGTAAATCTTCTTCAAATCCTTCAATGTATTTTCGGCCACTTTGGCAAGCGCCTCATTTTCAGCAACATCTTCATCGTTCAATTGAAGAATTTCATCGATGTGGCTGCGATCTCGAAGGTTTTCTGGAATTTCGGATTCCTTTTCAAGACAAAAAATAATAATAAAAAACATTGTAAGGATCATTTCACGATATGGATTGATTCACAGATGATACACACCAACAGTAAATCATCAACGGGATACGATTTAGGACTGATTTCAGTTTCGCTAGCTTCATGCTTTTTAATTGAAGCCTCGCTGCTGTCGTCGTCATCGTCAGCATTGCTGTCATCATCGTCCTTGTCGTCATCGCCATCTTTCTCTTTACTGTCACCATCTTCATCGGTATCATCAGACTTTTCTTTGCTATCTTCATCTATTTAAAATGAATGAAACACCATTATGAATTTAAATTTACTTAACCTGTCAAAATAATAAATTACTCACCGCCTGCTGCTTCCTTGCTATCATCGTCCTTTGAGTCGTCAGTTTTGGTTGAGTCAGCTTCATTTTCTTTGCTTTGGTCATCATCATCATTGTCATCATCTTTTTCTTTGCTATCACCATCTTGGTCGTCGTTCTTCTCCCCACTGTCAACATCTATTTTGACAAAAATTCGTCAGTTTTTGTAACCCTTGTGGAAAATTACTGACTGACTAGTCAGTTAACTAATTTGGGACGTTTTTGGCTAAAGCCAACTGAGATTGAAGTTGTTTTAAGTTGATTTTAAATAAAAACTAACCGTCAGCAGCTTGTTCTTTGCTGTCCTCGTCGTTATTATCATCGTCAGCAGCTTCAGCACTATCGCCTTTTCCATCATCATCATCAGCTTCGCCACTTTGATTATCATCGTCATCAGCTTGCTCCCCGGATTTGGTTTGTTCAGTCTGTTCCTTTGAGTCATCTTGATCATCTTGATCTTCATCATTTTCCTTTGAGTCATTCTATCGCATATTTCAATTTTCAAATTGAAACATTGAACTTGAGTTAAATAATAAAAATATGACATACCTTATCATCATCGTCGTTATCATCGTCGTCATCGCCTTCTGTGTCTTTTGCATCATTATCACTTTCCTTACTATTGTCCGTATCATTTTCTGTGGAGTCATTATCCTGATTCGTTTCAACTTCACCGTCGTCCGTTTCCGTTGAATTGTCCTCAACGCCAGTTTCGGTTTCGTTCGCTGATTCTTAAGACAAACAAGCAAAAAAAAAAGTCCACATAGCAGGCACATTAATAACATTCTATTTTAGATTCACATTTTGCAAAAATGACGGTTCTTCTCTTTTTTTTCGACACGATACACACCGTATACGTAACATATCCGCATTACGAACTCAAACCAAATAATTCGTTTCGAGAATAAATTTGTGATTATTTTTTTTTGCTAAATAAAATTTTTACACGTCTGACTAAATTAGACATGATTCGTACACTAATTTTGCCGTTAACTTGTCCGTGTCGAAACTGTAACTTGAATGCAATTTTTATTTTTTTAATACCTTCTTGTGAATCGTCGTCGGTATTATCGTTTACATCACTTTTAGCCTCTTCACTATTGTCGTCTTCAGTGACAACCGCATCGGTCAGATCTTCTTTGCTCGTATTTTCATTGCTATCGTCCACATCAACGACAATCTCAGCACTGTCTGGTTCTGAGCGATTACAATTCAAAAACCCATAAAAAAACCGAAATGTGCGGACGCGATAGGAAATGAAATCTCTTACCTTTGCTGTCCCCTTTTAATGTATGCAAGGCTTTGTCGATGTGTGGCTTACATTCGGCTTCGGTTGGTGTGTCGGCGTTCACTTGAAGAGCTGCACATCAAATGGATAATCATTAATTATTGCACCGTCGGAACATTTAACGTTTGATTGGTAATATTGTATTTGCGTATTATATGAATGTGTGTGTGTGTGGTAATTATGGGATATTATGAAAAGATCAAGCGCCTTTTTATCGTCGCGATCATTTTATGCACAAACGTGATTTGGCTATTTTTGTCTCTTCATGTTATGATCCAACAAGACACATTACATATTAGAGTGTCTTTGAAATTGGCATGCATCGAAATCGAAAGAACATAAATGCAACGATGTACGCGGTGTGTGTGTATATGTTCACTGTGGCGATGACAAATTAATTGCCGCCTGTAATTTAAATTTATGCATGTGCACAACGAAATGGATATTGTTCAAACCGATTTTCGTTTTTCTTTTTTGTTATATTTTTGTCGCAAAATTGGCAATTGAACTTTGAATCAAAGCAAAATCGTGTGTAGAAAATAAAAAAAAATAATCCAAGGTCCATTGCGTACAATATATTTCAACGAAATATGAAAATGTGTAAGCGAAATTTTTTTTCATTGTCATTTCCATACTAAAAATAAATAAATGCCGAAAACCACACAAAATTGACCCCTTTCTACGTTCGCAAACACAAATCCACATTAAATTGCATAAGGTCAATTCAATTTTCTTTGAAACGGCATTTACATAGCATATAATGCACATCATTTTTCATCTGCTCGTTGGTTCTTTCGATCTTTTTTAAATAAAAAAAATAAACTGTAATAATAATTTTCTTATATAACAAAAGCTATATTTGCTCGCACAGCAGAAATGCGAGAGAAAATTGTATTTGAAAAGTCTGATGCAGAAAGGCAGAAAAGATTACGCGAGACACACGTAAAAATGCGAACAAGATAGCGGGAAAGCGAAAGAGCGAGAGAAAATGAGAGAAAAAAATAACGAAATAAAATAAAACGAGGAAAGGAGAATAAAATAAGCAAAATATTGTATTGATACACAACATGAAGAGAAGAATATATAAAAATCTAAAAATAATTTGGCGTTTATTCAAAAATAGCACTTTTTCACTTGAATACACAGGATTTTGGGCACAGTGAGAGGGACAGAAATCGAATGAGAGTGAAAATAAATGAGTATATATCACTTTTTTTTCTTCGCAAAATCGCCAATGGGCGAATATGAGTAATAAATCGTATGAAATGTTCGGCACACAAACGGACTTGCTATTAAGGTCGCAGCAACCAAAGATGAACGGATTAAGGAGAACAACACATTTACTTACTGGAAATAGTGAGAGTACATAGCAAAGCTATGCAAAGTAATCTCCAGATTGACACACTGGCCATGATTTGATCGATTTTCGAATTGGTTATCCCCGTTGATTAGTATTATCCTTTTTTTGCAATTTTTTTTCTATTTTTGATTTTTGGTTATTTTTTACAATTTAGCAGCACATTCTTTCACTGTGAATTTTCAAATAAAAAAAAAACTTAAAAATTATTTACACTATAACGGTTCTTTTTTTTTGTTACAATAAATTTATATACTACATTAACTAGCACAAAAATGGTGAAAAAAAAGACGAATTTGCTATTCGATCAGTGTTAGTATAGTTGTTTTCACGCACTGCGCGACTATTAAACTCGGCCCCGGTTCTAGATGAGAACGTCTATGAATATGAAACGGAAGAAAGATACAAGAAAATTTGTTGCAGACAAGTTCTGTATATTGGTCACGATCAACGCGATCGCGCACAACGTACTGAATCATAAATCCGACCGAAGTGAAAAAAATATTTTTAATTTGGTTTCGAACCTGAAACGGCCAACGCGCACTGCCGTATTTAAAATATTTATTCCGATTGTGCTCACAGTATCACGGTTTCAGTTCTTCTCCTTTTTTTTGGGTTTGCCATTTTGGCTGAGTCGGTGCGAGCAAAAACATAAAGCCATGACATAAGATTCAAAATGTGTGATTACCAAGACACTGATCATTTCCACTTGTTTCTTCTTTTCCTTTTCTTCTGATTTTTACTTTAGTAATGTTCATTGCATACGTTGTAAACACACAGGACGCTTGAAATGAAATACGAACGTCATGAACGAGAATAAAAAAAAGTCGCATTACGTGTATTGATGTGTCAATGTAAACGGAGATTTTCGTTTTGGACACCGAGCACTCATGTGTTCATTTTAATGCCCATCTCGAATATTTGCCGCACATCTGTCTATGCTAAAACGATCTCATACGGAGGAGACGGAGACAGACACATTGTGTTTGTGCTGAAAATGTTCACAATGCAGCAACAAAACGGTGTCTAAATTTAAAAATATTAAATTGACAGATTGGTGTTTGCGCAAATACCATACGCAAATTGTCGCTTTCAGTCATACACACTTTACTTTTATTTCGGACACCGTTTCCTTCGAATGTAGAATTTGGGAGACCACAACGAATTTGCATCTCTCTCTCTCTCTTGTTCTCTCAATCGCACGGTTTTTTTGGCGACAGTTTCGATAATTTGCACTTCATATGTGGGTCTGATAAATGTCATCGTTTTATTTTCAACACAAATATGATATGTGAATATATTTTTTTGGTTGAAACCTGTTTTCAATTGATTTTTATCGCTTTCATGGGATTTTTCTCGATTCATACATTTTTACAAATGAGTTTTAATTTAAACATTATTTGCACCTTGTTCAAATTCAATTATTTCCCGAAAGCAACGAGCTCATTTCGGTTCTCCTTTAGTCAAGAACAATAACAATAAATGAAAAATTATCATTACAATATGAATTTAAGCGGCTTTATTGGTAAATAAGAAATGGAGACGGCCAGTAAAATTTAAAAATTAAGTAAACTGATATTGAATTGTCGCGAATTGATGGGATTTTAATGGGCCTAAAGTAATAAACGTGCCTTTGAATTCCAATTCCATTGAAAATCATTAATTGGAATCGAATGCAATTCTCTCTAAACATTTTAAGCGTGGATGTTAATTTGCAAAAATTGATGTAAAAATCTGGAAATAACCAAATGGAGACGACCCAAAATAATCGAACGTTCATTCCAATCGTTTGACATTTCTGCTTCCAGTCTGTCCCCGCATTGACTTATAAACGTCGAGAATGCTTTGTTTTCACGTGTTTTCAAGTTGACGAATGTGCTCAAACTTTATTTTGATTTTTCAGCACGTTGTTATTACACAAACATTGTGTGTTCATTTTATTGGCAGAAAAAAAAAACCAGTGAATAAATTGCCCATATTTTTCTTATTCAATTCGATTTGTAACGAAGCAAAAATGTCACCAAAAAACAAGCAACGAAAAATGAACGAAGAAGAATCAGAAGATTCATACAGTTCTGATACAAGTGATGACAATGAAGCATACACTGGAAACGAGGTAATTTGCATTTTGTGAACGTAATTTCTAAATTGAATAGACGCGATTAATCGTGCTCAGAGACGATTTATTTATTCTTTTCAAATTCAAAAATAAAACGCTTATCATTCGGTTGCATTTCAGGTGATTCAAGTTGAATTCGAAGGACGTGCACCGATGTCATCGGATTTTCATGGTATTCGACAGTTATTACACCAACTGTTCCTAAAATCCGATATCAATTTATCGGAATTGGCCGATTTAGTCACAGGTATGTTTCGAGTGCACACATTTCGTGCGCCGCGCAATTACTCGTTTTGTGATTTGTTTTCCCTAGACTCTGACGAGTGCTATGAATCGTCTCGAGTGATTGCATGTTACGATCATGATCGTGATTGATAACGTTATACGAATGCTTCTACAAATATTGTTTTTTTTTTTTCGTATCGCGTGGAATTGCAGATCAAAACTTTATCGGAAGTGTGGTGATTCAGAGTTTTGGGGAAGATGACGAGGACAGTGACGACGATGAAAATACCGACACGAATTTCGAGTCGTCGGGCACGATTTTTGGTATCACAACAGCTGTAAATATATCCAAATCACAAAGTCATGGTTGCATTGAGGATATACGTAAGCATCTTCAATCGAAATGTGATCAATTCGCGAAGCCAGAACACAAACAAGCATTCACCGATGCATTAAACGATGACACAAAACAAACGGCACTCTTAATAAATGAACGATTCATCAATATACCACCACAAATTGCCGTTCCATTGTTGGAGAATTTACAGAATGAGATCGGCCAAGCCGCTGTGAAAAAGGAGAAATTCCGTTTCGACAACTACATCATGATTGTTAAATTCAATCGAAAGAAGAGCAAGGGAAAGCAAAAGGATCAAACCGAAGATATATTTTCAAATGGTGAAGAGGAAATTCTTGACGAATACGCCGATGCAAGTTATGAATATAGTGCCGAACGTGAGACCGACTCAACAATGGCCGGCAACTGGACAGAAAGTGATAGTACGCTTGTGCCACATCGCAAAGTTGTTATTTTCGATACAACCAAATTACCTCGTATAATTGATTGCATCAAAGATTTAATAAGTGAATAAATGGAAAATAATTTTTTAACGAAAAAAAAAACACATCTCTCAAAACGTTTTGATTATCATTTTTGTGCTAATAGTCGTCTTTTATGTATCGTTTTCGCGTTTTGTGCATATATTTTTTTTCGCTGTATAATTTCTCAACCGCATTAAAATTAATTATCTCGCAAAATGATGAAAATGCATGCAAAGGGTTTGTTCGATTCGGTTGCCATTACAATTCTATTTTATATATGGATGCAAGTTTTAAGCTTTGATGCCTTCGATATTGTTGAACGTGTATGCATATAAATAGTTGTCTGTTTCGCTGTAAAAATGATTTAATTTGAAATTTAAATTTTGGGCTCACGAAAGAGTAAAGTAGAAAAGGTAAACGCATTCACATTGGTATCACAGAAAGAGAGAGAGAGAGAGAGAGAGACTGGTAACCTCTCATCTGAACTCTAACAGAGCGCATCACCATTGCACCAAGTGTGTGTATATAGAATAAAGATTTTCAGCTCCAGACGAGACTTCCTTCAGATTTTTCAGAATTCAGAAAAAGGTTCAATAAATGTTGGTGACCCTAAATTTGTCATCGGCTAGTAACCTTTTTCTGCTAGTAATCTCTTGTCTCTGCCATCATACACATACGTGAAATGGTTCAAAAGCAATATCAGTGAATTAAAAGTCAGAAAATTCTTCGGTTTCTTCTTTTTTTTTCTTTGCTCTCCTGAAAACACGTGAGTGACTGTGCTTGTTCTTTGTGTATTTTGTTCGTTTGGTATTCTTGTGCGCAAGAGAGTCCATTCGATTCGGGGGGCCGTTGCCAAGTACATTTTCATGTTATTCTATACATTGTTTCACACATATGCCAATGCTCTTTTTCTTCTTCGGTGCCACGAAAACGAGAGAAGTGCGCTTTTGTGCGCACGCTATACAAATATGTGTGTACTGGTTGTGTACATCATGTACGTACACATATTGTAAGTGAAGCAAAGCAAATGAACGACCAACGACGAATAGGACCAAGTACATTGACTCTTCACAAAAACGAAAAGTGAAACAGAAACTCGAATCTTTTTTCGGCTCCAAAATATACACATCACATTTCTTGTGTTCTTTTTCTTCTTCTGTTACTGCTGCCGTTGTTGCTGCTGCTGCTGCTGCCGTTGCTGTTGCTGCTCCAAACCACATCAAGTATGCATAGAACTGCTGGCCACTTCAGTTAATTTAGATTTTTTTTAAAAAAAGAATAATAAATAAGAGGAAAGAATATTTTTTAAGGCCTATGCCGAAAATAGTTGGTGTGTGAGTGAACAAGTTAGAATCCAAATTAGGTAAGAACATTCTTTTTCGAAATTGATCTTCAAATGTTCAAATCGAAACCGAAAAGACAACGAACTTTTGTATTGCTGAGAAGATGATGCGAAGTTTAAAAAAAATAAATGTTCGTTTTGAATGAAACAAGAGAGATCTGTCTGCTTTTTGGTATAATTACACAAGGAAAAATTAAACGCCTATTATACGCATGACTTTTAGATAAATATAGAGACCCAGAGAGAGAGAAATGGTCAAGCGCGATGCCCATTTTAAAAATTGCCAATATTATAATTAAATGTAATTTCCATTGATCTAAACCGTGTGGTGGTGCATTTTCATTAATGCTAATTCATTTGATATCTCATTATAGATATTTATGAGATTGAACACATTCAAACGAATCTGAAAAAAGGTAGCGGATGCACGAAATCACATACAATAACAAAAATCCCAATTTTTGTCAATTCCATTGAGTTGCCACTTGCACCGTCGTGCGACTGGCCAATTCGAACACCGAAAATCACCAAAAGCGAATTGCCGATCAACGATCGTTTTGCAACAATAATACAATGTTTTGTTGCCGATTTCCATCATTTTTCGATCGGAATTGCGTGCCGAGTTTGGTTATTGAGACAAACCCCTTATTAACCAGCATAAATAGAATAAAAATATAAAAATGGTTTTTGGTTTTGTGGTTTCGCTATTTGGCCGCAAAATAAACAATTTCATCTGCATTTGATTATGCGCAGAGATTTCGTCGATTGCCGGTGCCACCACAATCATCATACACACGTTTGTGTCGAAAAATCGAAAAATCGAAAAATTCCTTGAAAATTGCATAATTAAAAGCTCGGGATTCGATTTGTTAAATTATAGATGTCGATTTCGATCATTTTAAAAGATATTCCAAATTTGTGTTTGTGATCAACTATCGTCTCACATCATATCATGTGCATTTGTGATGAGTTTTGATGTAACGAACGCAAAACAAAAATGCAAATACAAATTGAGCATTTTAGCATTGTTGAAAACCGAACAGAACACACAGCCGTCCATATATATATATATATATTTTTGTTCACATGGAACAATGGAAAAGCGAACAGAGTGTAAAAATTCCGCTTGAATGCGTCAGGGAAATTTTTTGGGGCGCTGAAAATACTTTTTTTTCGCTTCGCTGCCAAATTACCCAATATTTAAACGATTCAACGAAACAACACAATTATTCCCCATCGAAAAATCCAAATCCTTTGAGAGCACATTGCAATGATGCGCTGACTATTTCTTTTTTTCTTCTCATTGTTAACACGAACACTGAATTGAAAGCGTACAACAACAACACCACACCAAAAATTAGCATTATTGATAAATTCGTTTGCGCGCCCCGTATAGACGCGAATCGAATCGCATGGGAGGCAAAATGTTCTCGGCGTGTGAAAAGACTAAGTGCTAGATCATTGCCATGCAATTGAACATTGTAACGATAAAGTGATGGATATTGCAACCTCAAACATAAATGCGAGGCGTTTCCTATATACAGTCATACGAAATTCACAGTAAACAAACCGATCAATCGCGTGGATCTCGCTCACGCTACTGTGTGTATGCATCACTTTCCCGTTTCGAAGCGATAAGAAATAAAATGCGTTTTTTTATTGTGCGTTCGATTTGAATTTTACGGATAAAACATTGATATTCACTGAAGGATGAACTGATTTTGACAGATTTTTCCTGCACTGAATTGAACGAACGTATTTTCATTCAAACGCACGATTTTTTTCATCATCGGAATTTGCAATTGTGTAATCACAACTAATCGTTCGATATCAATTTGACATGATGTGATTCAAACATATTCTCTTGATCGATTGCCATCTCAATCGTATAATTTGCAACGCATTCATGATGAAATGTTCGCTCCATATATCCAACGATATGCATTTAATGCGGAAACTCATTCATAGAGCCATCGTTACGGCTCTACCATATAGGTGACATATGTTCAAGTTGTATGAGTTGTATGCTGCGATCGATGTGTGTTTTTTCTCTCTTCTTCTGCTTCGTTTCGTTTCTCCCGATTAAATATGTGTGTTTTTTCTTTCATTCTGCTTGTTTTGTTTTGCTTTGTAGTTTGATCGCACATTGTTCATGTGTTAATAGAGAAGCGCGGTGAACATTTGAACAATGATATATAATATCACGTTTGCAATTCCATACTGCGAAATGCATGTAATGCAAAGAGCAAATGATTGTTGTTGCGCCCGGCAAAATACACACTCATACGTTGATTACGTATTGTGTCACAACAGCAACAGCAGCAATGAACGCGTGCACATTTTTTTTATTTCTTCTACCTCGAGCAGAGAGTCGAGTTCAGAGAAATTCGTACTATCAACGCACGGTCGTATCATCGTCGTTGGGACGCTTTCTTCTCATTACTTCGTCTCTTTCTCTCTCGCTCTCCTCTTCTCGCATTTCTTTCAATGCGCGATGCTACACACATGCATGTGCGCGCAGCAATAGCACGCGAGTATAGGTGGAAATACACACAGATCGGAGGCGAGCATATCACTACACGGCACTACAATTCGTTGCCGATTGAACATGTGCTAGTGATACACTACGTAAGTATAGGTATTTCGATCAATCGCCGCTATAAAACATCGTTCAACTTCGAGTTACTTGTTAGTTTAAACATAAACACCAACCGCACAGTATCGGCAAAATATTTTCAGATTTTCTCTCTCATTCGATAGAAAAAAAAGCTTCCAAAGTTATATTTTACACTCGAATCAAATTTTCCGATATTTGTACATTCAAGTCAAAACCGTAATTTTTTTATAAAAAAATACGTTCTGGTGCCGAATTGCCACTGAATATAGTGTTCAAAAGTGCTTTTTTAAAAATAAATTCTAAACATATTTTTTTTTTTTTTTTGTTAAAACAACGCGTAAATTAATCGTCGACTTTTAAATTAATTTAAAAAGAAGAAGAAAAAGAACGTACGAAAATTATTAGTCATTGTTTCGTTTACAAACACACATTGCACACGGCAAAACGAAACAAAACACGTAGCAAATTTACAAATTGATTGATCATATCACGAAAGAAAATATACATTATTTTTTTTCACAAATTAAGTTATACAAAATGAATTCAACATTGGATCCAACTGGCCATTATTAAATGTGCCGTCCCCGAACGACGTGAGATTTAGCGGGAGAGCAAGCAAACAAGGCATACAATACCGGCTACGTTATAAAATAGAAACATATTAGTCAAATCATCATCATCACCACCGTCAATCATCATTCCGAATCTCCCGTCAGCTTGTTTTGCAAACAACTCGATATCAAGTCGACTTTGTTGCACAGTCAAGTTTCATTGCAGTCAAGTAATTAGCAATAAATTAATTACTCATCACTTCATTTTTGTGCTTCGGGAAGTGCGAATTGCAAAGCCGTTGAATTTAATATAGAAAAAAAAAATTAAACGAACATTCGTTTGAAATTAGAGAAACAACAATTTTGAGGGAATCCCAATTTATCAAGCAAAATGGACGATACTTTGGACCCAACTGGCATGTACTAGGACCGATCACATCTAGTTGATTTGGCGAGTAACAGCGAAACAAACGCAAGGTACACAAACAAAGTCACATTTTTGTGTTAGACGCAAATAAAAAAGCAGATTCCAGGCTAAAATCTGAACATAGAAGTCAAGAAGAGA